TTCTACGACGACCATCAGCGATCCTCTCCACGTCAACTGGACGGATATAGCCGGGCCGGTGCACACGAAGACGTGCCAGCTGTGGCGCTGTACGGCTCGCCCACGAGCCGAAAAATAAATTCACGCCTCAACCCGTCTTTAAGAGGGGACGGGGACTCACGGGGCGCACCGAAGGGAGAAAGGGTCAGGGAGGGAGAGAATAGAAAGAGGTTGCTTTGTGTGTTTGAAGTGTTACGTTCTCGGTCTAGACGGTATATTCCGCTGCGTGGGGGGAGTGGGTAGTTTTATGTAAACTGTCTGGCGGGAAGAGAATAGAAACGTCCTTGGAGGGTCAAGCACGCCTACAACACGCCGACGCAAGCGCGAGATGGACGTGGAAAAAATGCGGACTATATCAAAGAGCAAGAAGACATCCGCACGTAGCTCACTCGGGTATAACGGTTGTTCGACGACCTTTGGTAAAAAACACATACTTGATCTCGCCAGACTCCCAGAGAAAAGATCCGCGAGTTTTCTTCCTTCCTGCACAACACGGAGACAACCAATCAGGGCGAAGAACAGAAGGGTCCGAACGGATGATATTACAGTTGCTTGTTGTCCTTTCGCACATTGCAGTTTTAGAGTCCAATCACATTCTGAACTTTCGTACCAGTCCTCTGGATCCTCCTGTACTTCGTCCTGATTGCCTCTTTCCGTGTCCCGCCGGAGAGGAAGCTCCTAAATCCTTGAGAGTGTACGATGGACTAGAGATCAAGGCGGGGAGAAGCTTGGTCCAATCACGAGCCGGTTAGAAACCACGTAGTATAGCACTTCCACGTGCGCATCAGTGCTCCTATGGCAACATTTTACATCGGAGCGCTATACCATGTGGTTTCTTCCCTGATTGGACCCATAGCTTTTCTCCCTGGCCCATCGTAGAGTAAGACGGGCGCTACAAAGAGCCTTTTGCCAGCCGACAAAACCGAATGTGCCCCTTGACGACTCGACCAATCTTCCGCGGAAGTGCTCGTTCACAGACCCATTCTTTTCGCTCCAGTTCAAACGAAGTGGCACCGGGATTGATGAACGGATGATGATGAATATGGCCTTTGTATCGGGCGAAAGCTCGCGTCACCGGTAAATGTTTCCGGGCTATACACTAACACAGTGTATACAAACAAGCACGCCTTTCCCTCACCAAGTGTGGGCAGTGCGCCTGCGCAGAAACCATAGTCGGGAGGAGTGAAGCATCTGCGCATGCGCAGCACTGACAGCAGCGCCCCCACAGTGGCGTGACGTCAGTGAGTTGAGTTGGTCTATAACCTATATACATATACCACCCTCCTCTTTAAATGATGCCCTAGTTTCCGTCTCTCGTTAAATCGCCTTACCATGACCATTTCGTTCCACCAATCTTCTGACACCCCGAGAGTAAAACGAAACTGTTTTTCTACACCAACCCAATTCCTTGAAGTCACGCCACTGCGGTGGTGCTGATGTCAGCCCCGCGCATGCGCAGATGCACCGCCTCTCTCGTATCTGGTTTGTGCGCAAGTGCAGCGCCCGCGCTAGGTGTGGGTGAACGTTTTCTTGTTTGTAGACCGTACGTGTGTTAACGCGGAACACAAGTTCGTCTGCTTCTTTCTCAGGGGTTGCCGTGACGTCAGAACGCTGAGATTTGATTAGCTCTGGTTGGAACGATAGTCGGTAGACATCAATGCTCGCCGCTTTGAGGTTTACCCACTATCCTTCCAATGAGAGCTCGGTGTTCTGACGTCACGGCAACCCCTGCGCAAGGAGCAGACCAACTTGCGTTCCGCATAGTCCGTTTCATTTGAAGACCGACCGCAACCGACACTCCACTCCGGTGGAGCCAATCAACCTATCACCGACCAAAACCAATCACGTACAGTGAATGCGCCGCGATCCATCTTTTCTGTGCGTGATTGGCTTTAGCCGATCAGAGCATGCTTATAAACGCAACGAGCGCCGGGAGATAAGGCATTTCCGGCTCTGCTTGACTCTTTTTGACGCGTACGAAATCATGCGTTTAGTGTCGCAGCAAAAGATTTCATAAAAAAAAAAAAAAAGATAAAAAAACTGATTGGATTTTTTGAAGAGGTTTGGAGGAATGATGGGCAGACGGTGTAGAAATGTTGCACTTCGGTAACATGATAGATCCCACTCAGTTCTTTACCATCGGATTCGAACGACATACATTTACTGACACCTTAGCCGACGCTAAGAGCCAACGTTATTAAGAAATTAGCTCAGTTACGTCACTGTAAACGTTGCTTCCACGAGCAGTACCCCCCTCTTCCCCGTACGACCCGCCTCCCGTCATTCCACACGGCACCATTTTGAGGACGGCTGCTATGGTAACTATACAGTGTATTCCGTAAAATACGAAAGTTTCGAAGTACACTGTTCTAAATGGCGTTAGACCGTACTCTATGGACATGGCCTCCGGGATTTTTCTCCTTCTGGCTACGCTCCTCAAGTCATAGCATTCGCGTTGTTATTTATTGTGGGGCGCTTGGTGGCGCTCGCAACCAAACCAAACAATATAAAGAAATGGCCGCGGACTATCATCATCATCATCATTACCGTCGGTCTACGGAACTTAGGAGCAGCTCGAAATGCGCTCCCCGCCTCTCGTCGCAACACACAGACCTAAGGAAGAAGTTGATCGAAATTTGAAGGTTCATCTTTTCGAAGCGCTGAAGGTGCGGAACAAACACCCACGATGTCGTTTTCAAACGAACTCCGAATTTAATAATTTCAGTAAAAGAAGAGGAAGGCCAGTCAAAATATTGATTCGCACGATAGTGGTAGTAATTTATTTCGGCTCAGGAGACCCGCGACGCCGCAGAAAGGCAAGTCGCCCGTACAGTGGCGACATGCGACGCCGCGTCCAACTGATGGAGACGATGGTGTAAATAAAGCTCGTGGACGAGGGTGAGGGGTTGATGTTGCGGTTGAAGAGGGTGAAAAGACTTGCAGCTGTTTTCGCGAAAGTAGTCTTTGTGGGGCCGCCACGGACTACTGACTTCTAGCAGGCCTGTCTCGAGCGCGGAATCATCAGTGGGGTCACGCACACTGGGGCAGTCAGAATTTCCGGTGACGCGAATCTAGTAACGTTGCCACGAGCTCATGGGACCAATCGAGCATGCGTCAAAAGCGCAAGTCACTGGGCCTCTTCTGTTTATGGTTAGTTCAGCGATGATAGAACATGTACTGAAACACGACGAACACCATGACGGTGCACTTTTGACGCAGACTGATTGGTCCCGCCAGCTCGTTGCGTCGGCTGCGTCTGGGCCTAAGCTGAAACGAAGTATAAAGAGCAACGCCCTAGTGCTTGATTCCCTACGTCACCAAACAGAGGCAAGCGCGGGGAACACATTGGACACAAATGCCATATACGTCAGCCCTCGGCAGAAGCTCGTGTCCAATCACCGAGGACCCCAGTGCCATCCGAACGCGACACTCGTCTCCAATTCGTGCCACCCGCGCTGGCCTGCGGCAGGTAACGTCGACAATATGACACCACGGCCTTATTGTCTTGGAGGAGTTGCATCTACGGTACTTGCGTGGACCAACTTCGAAGCAGTCGACGTCGTTACCATGCGGGTTATTTTGCGAGACATAGCGTTGACGTGATTCGAAGTCAATGACGCGACACAAATGAAAGAACAACTAATAAAAAATAAGAGGAGGTGGTGGGGACGAAGAAACCTTAACTCAGCAGGCGTCAGGGCGTCGAGTGAAGGATCGGGGTTGCTGCAAATAGCTCGAACCCGCGTTGCTTCCCTTGCACTCTTCCGAGGAGCATTCCCCTTCACTTCTTTTTTCCCCCCAGTTTTCGTTATTGAAGTGTCTCGTTTCAGCCGTGTTCGAATTTGAAACAATTCAGTGCCTTCTAAAAACAAGTTTTCACGCGTATTTGTGAAACAATGTAGCTCTCTTTGCTCTGTACAGGACAACAAAGTTTGAAGTTAATCGTGCCGTTTAACACTCGAGACAGTGGTGCAGAAAATGAAAAACCTTTAGTCGAACGAACACTCACAGATAGGAACGTCTCAAACTCGGCTAAACAGCTCGCCTGCACACTTACAGTCTTTTCATAAATTTTTGAAGTGAACTGTGGGAAAGTATACATACATAGTTGTGCTTTCGCTTTCTCGTGAGCTCCCGATTTCTAGCCGCCCTGCTTGATTGTACCGTACACGAAGCAGATCTCGAGACTGTCATACGGTATGCGGCGCGTCTTATGCAGATCGTAAGTTCATCTGCTTCTTTTGCAAGCGTTGTGGTGACATCAGAACGCCGAGCTTTGATTGGCTCTGATTAGAAGGATAGCGGGCAGGCCTCAAAGCAAGCTGCCTCGAGGTCTACCCACTATCCTTCAGTCAGAACCAATGAGAGCTCGGCGTCTTGCTGACGTCACTGCAATTCCTGCAAAAGAAGCAGACGAACTTACGCTTCGCAATGTAATACGAATGTGTGCCTCTGCTTTATCCCTGTTGTCTCCTGCTCCGTATTTGACGGCGTTTCGTTTATCTATTACAGTAACCGACAGAATGAAAACGGCAGGCCGTTTCTACCGGAAGCCTGATCTCCAGGCCACGCCCATCGCCTTCCGTCGTGCTTTCGCTGCGCATGCACGCTCGAGGGTCGCGAGACGCCGAAGTGTCATCGAAGGCACGAAGCTTGCGGTGGAGGCCGCGGGCAAGTGAAAGACCTCCCTGCCGTTTTCATCCTAGCGGTGCTAATAGATCATACAAACGAAAGTCTTCCAGAGACACTGCCCGAGGCGTGTCCCATCCCTGTACAGCTTTGTCGAATAGGCCATACAAAAACAAAATTAAAAAAAGTCTGCGTTGGAAGCATATGAAGCAAGCACGCTGAGACTCCGGGATCATCAACAACGTGTGACTGTATACCCTGACTATGACTAGTGACTACAAAAGCCGATTCCACGAAGATATGATCCTGTATTAAGTGACGTATATACTCACGGCTGAAGTTGAGGTTGATGGAGGAGTCGACCTTGCCCTCCTTGTTCTTGGCGAAGACCTTGTAGAGGCCGCCGTCGGTCTCGATGACGTCGTTGAGTTCCAGGGACACGTGGTACTTGCGCGGCTCGATCTCGACCACCTTGATGCTCGTCCTGTGGTCGTCCTTCAACTCCACGTCGCCCCGAAACCACGTGATATCGGGCCTGGGGTGCGACGTCATCTGGCACTCGAAGACGAGTCTGTTGCCGTCGTCCTCTTGCCGGAGGGTCGGCTTGTGCAGGAACGACGGCGCCATGACCGCGTTGAAGGGGTCCTCGTCGTCCATGGCGGCGGGGACCCTGGACCTGTGGGGTCAACCCTGCGGAGTAGAACGAGCCCGCTGAAGTCGTGAGGGCGCACGAACGGGGTAGTAGGCTCTAATATAGAAACTTGAGGGACATAATCGAAAGCAACCCTATCGAATAATTATAAATATAAAGGGCACGTACAATATTTTACTGTTTAGAAAAAACTCTAAATTTCAAAGCGTTTCTAGGCTTCTGTTTTCTGACACAATGAACATCGCTGCTCTAATCTGAACAACCTCTGTTTCGAACCGTTTCTCCGACGTCCCGTAGCAACTCAACTCAGACGGAAGGTCGTGGTGTTGGGGTTTCTTTGCCAAGAGGCGAGCGCGAGGCAGAGGTGGGAACGAGTGCTGCGCCCGCGCTATGTTAGAACTTGTGCCTCGCCTTGTCTGTGCACCCCCTGAGCCTCGTCTGTGCCTCCTGCTAGCCGCTCGACATAGAAATCCCAGCATTACGGCCTTCTGTACCAAGCAGTGTGTAAGCAGAGCCCGTGGTGCTATATGTCGTTGCCTTCCACCGTGCTTTCGCTGCGCGTGCACGCTCGAGGCTCGCGAGACGTCTAATCCTTATCGAATTGGTATACGAAGCTTGTGCTGGTGCCGGGACTACTGAAACTCTTACCAACCATTCTCGTTGTGTCAGGGAATATAGAAGGTTTTAACTGGACGCTGAGAAGGAAACGGATTGCACCGCCACCATGAAACATGCTTTAAGAATACGTCTAAATTGAAACCGGAAAAAAAATAATAATAATAAAAAAACAATGGCAGCGACTTTTTTTGTAATGCATGAAATGCATTGTATCAGGTGCAATCGCTTTTGTAATTGTCTGGAAGACATGAAGCCATCGTTTTGGGGAGTGCAAAGGGACCTTTATTTCCATCAATTTCCTCGGTACAGCGGGGAAACTAAATTGCTGTATAATAGGTCTCGCTACGTACAGGTCACGTGACACCAAATTTCCCGATAAATTTAGCTGGGAAAGTGAATCAATAGGGAGTTTCCGTAAATAGTGGATAGACCTCGAGGTCTACCCATGATCCTTCCGATCAAAGACAATAAGAGCTCGACGTTCTGACGTCATCGCAACGCCCTGTTCAAGAAGCAGACGAACTTGCGCTCCGCACACGGCAACCCAACTCTCTGACGTCACGCCGCTGCGGTGGCGCTGCTATCTGCACTGCGCATGCGCACAAGCTTCGCTTCAGGCGCATCTGGTGTCTGCGCAAGCGCGGAGCCCGCACCCGGCGTGGGCAAACGCGGGTTTGTCTATAAAGAGTGCGTTGGTGTATAAGGCTCTCCGTTATTAGTTAAATGGTTTCGTTAAAAGAAAACACGCTCCAGTTGAAATAAGAGTCAAAACGCGAGCGAGCCCCGGCGCAATAAGAATTAAAATCTTCAAGACAAAGGGAAGCACAAAGGAGGACGTGCACAAAACCGTCTCACAGGGACGCCGGTGTCTGTGTGTGTCCTCCTTTATGTTTCCTTTGTCTCGGGGTTTTTAACTATGATCGAGTCGAAAGACGAAGCTGACACGGAGTGAGAATGATCGCCATTCATGGGTTACCAAGAATTGCTATACAAAAACGTTTTAATAGATCGTTCTGATACCCCCGATAACGATATGGTGCATGCACAAAGGCGGCCAAGGCGTATCGGGTATCGTTATCGGAGTCATCGAAAGGATCTACTAAAAATTGCTACTCTCTCGGTAGTCAACAGTCAATCTATATAATACGGGTAGTTCTCATTTCGAAACTATTTTTTACGGCGGTATTACAGCGATAGATGTTAGTGGGTCACTTCGCGGTTTCGCACCGTGGACCACGCTCCATATCGACGCCGCGGGACATTTTAGGCACTCAGCCAAAACCAGCGTTACAAGAACAAATCAGTTGGGAAACTGCGATAGAGTCTGCTCTGAAAAAGTGGCACCAATCCGTACTCGAGAACCAAGCTAATGGCGATCGCAACGCCGCCATTTCTCCCGCAGTGGCCACTCGGGTAACAGCGCGGCTGCTTGGAGTATCGCAGTCGATAGCGTCCACTGTTATTGTTCTCTTTTGGCTTTAATCGGCCGTTTTGGGGCCGAAACATACGGTGGAAGGGGTTTGAAGGATGCCACTTCCACCTCCCAAGCGGACGTGCCGCGAATTGCTACCGAAGTTAGGATGCGGCCAGGTCGGGACGCGCTACTTAAAATCACCGGTGAGACATGGTTGTATAAAAACAATATTAATTGTGCCACAAAACTTTATAAACAAAAGATTTTAGAAAACAACCCGCGCCTGTCATTCTGTACTGATCTCCAATAGAAGCCCCTAAAAACAAAACTTTTTTCGTTTGTTTTGACGAAAAAAATGCTTTCTAAAAGCTCATGATGACCACAGTAAAAAAAAGTAAAAGATTGAGCCGCCATTTTAGCATCTCGAGCCTGGAAGTTGCGGTACTCTGGGAACACTCAGCGACCCTAGCAGTAGCCATATAAAGCAACGTTTTTGTCTCAACTCGTCGCTAAAGGGTGGCGCTCTTATCGTATTTGGCTCGGTCTTGGTGGACGCCAGTGGTCCAGGTTTCAATGGTGATAATTATAATGCAAATAAATGCAAAGGTATTATCGTCATTCAAGGGTGAGTTTTCCAACTGAGTGTTTTAGTAACGTTGACCAAAACATACCATGGGCCGCTGACAACAAGGTCACGAGCAAGTAAGATAACATGCATGGTAATGCATGGTAGCAGAGATAACATGCATGGTCAGTAAAACAGACCCCACCGGAAAATCTGGCGTTGCAGTGGTATGCGGAGAACAAGTCACCTGCTTCTTGCGCAAGAGTTTCTGTGACGTCAGAAGACGCCAAGCCCTGATTGGCTCCGATTGAAGGAAAGTGGGTAGGCCTCAAAGCAAGCTGCCTGGAGGTCTACCGACTATCCTTCGATCATAACCAATCAGAATTCGGCGTTCTGACCTCACCACAACCTCTGCAAAAGCAGCAGACAAACTTCCGCTCCGGATAAGTGCGTGTGACCCAGAATTGGCACGAACAACGGTTCTCAGGAGATACGCGGATAGAACTGCCTTAAAGGAGCAGTGCAACGACATTCAATTGGTTTCACTTTACACGAGCTTACTGGCACTAGTGGGACTCAAGGGTACTCGCACGCAACGCTACTGGCCAAGAAACTCCTTTGTTGCGGTGTAATTTCAAGGACAAAAGCGATCCTTTTCATTCAATCTCTCCTTTGCAAAATTTGATGACGTAACGTGGGGATTGAAGTACTCCCAAGTGACGATATTTGAATGCGGTTCATAGATTGGACCCGAGCATTGCGTGGGCACTTGATTTGGGCTCGTGATAATTACTAGCTCGAGAAGCATTCGGGTAGTGGCCCGTGTGCAATCGCTGTAACGACGACAGTGAGCCTGGCCATAACGATGTCTGGAACTCAGCGCGTGTCCTGTGCTTTGCCAACCCCAGCGCGTGGCTATGATCAACATTGGCGGCATATAATCGGCTCCAGATCACGTGGCCGCTTGTTCTGGCTGCGAGTTAAGGGGGTGAACGCTGCTCGTTTTTCTTTAATTTTTTTTATGACTTCTATTGCGTGGGGTGAAAAACGAACGCGTGTTTCATAGGTCATTAACGTCAGGGATCCGTTTTAAGGGGCATTTGCGCCAAGTACAAAAATTGTTGCCTCGCCCCTTTAAATTTCTACGTTGCATCCTGCGTCAGAAAGCAAGGGGAATGCAAGTGCGTTAGAGCCCCTTTCTAAGCGAATATCGAGAAAGATAGTATTAATGGTGTGTGTTTGTTTAAATAATCCTTCATTTAAAAGTTCACTTCTTCTTGTCTACTTCCTTGGCCCTGCTGATTCGGCACTTTTCGTTTAGCACATATAACTATTTGTACGGAAGTGACGTACGCAAACAGGCTCCCCTTTTACGCACACAGCTGAAATGCTCTTTACTTACACTTATGCACCCCGATTGTTTCCAAAAGGCTATGGAATATTCGTCCGGTGTGTTACTATAAGTTTAATACAAAACGCTTATGCGGAGTCTATGGTACTCGCTTGCACCTTTACCGTTCATTCGGTCCACCTGCTCCGAAATTACACTTTAGCGGCTGCGACGTTCATAACTCCGCTGCAGCTGTGCTTCACCTTACGGGTTGCGTAAGTGCTTGCAATTGTTCTTTTGTTGTTATTTATTACCTTTTCCAGTACAGCGTCTCAAAAATCAGCAGTGATGGTAAAACAGTGAATAGACGAGAATATACTCGAGGCTGTCAGCGAGCGAGCAAAAAGAGACCTCAGATGCACTGTCACGAGTGGCCGACAAAAGCCAGAGGAAGAGAAGTGGCGTTCCGAAAGGGTGCTTTGGGAACGGCAATAGGTACTCCGACCTTCCCCGTGGCGCAAGAATGGCACCTGCCAGGCAACCTCGTACCCCATGTCTAGGCGAGACTGCAACGGCACCGGTGGCCCTTTCGTAGAACAGGATATCACTCGTTTGTGCTAATCTCTTTTAGTGCCGACAGTACCTGCCTTTGTCTTCGCGTGTACACTCGTGGGAGTAGTTAATAGACCAATCTCAGCAAGAGTTCGGCGCATGCGTAAAGCCGTTATAACTTTAGTTCACAAAAGGCAGCCGGCAGTGCCCGAGACGGCTCGTGCTGTCTCGTGCTTTGCACGCGCAGAGTTCCAGCGAGGTTCGGGCAAGTGCAGAAAGGCTGAAGTTCCCTCGAAGCATTGCGGCAGCGCGGTGGCGTAGTCAAACTGGCTGGTGAGACCGGTCTATTTAATTACACCGCCACTAAAGTGACTTTTCCAACGTATCCGTTTATTTTCTAAGTTATGCCGTTGACGGGCTAGGCCTATTCAGTGACTCTTCCATATTGCTTCTCGTTCGAAACAATGGTGCAGGTTCTACAACTTTCCTAAGTTAAGGCAACGCTTCTGGAACGAGAAAATGCCACATTCGATGCACTGTATTGTATTCTTT